ATCTATCTATCTATCTATCTATCTATCTATCTATCTCTCTATCTATCTATATCTGTCTATCCGAGGTTATAGAAGTTGGTTTCTCAGCAGACCTCTCAACCTCTTTGACTTTGTCATAGAACTACAGAATCTCAGATTTAGATAAGGGCCTCAAAGGCCAACGTGTCCATGAAAAAAAAAAATTCCCTTTATAACATCCAAGAGGCTATTCACTTTGTTCTTGAAGACCTCATGTGAAAAGGAGCTCTGTGTAACTAAAAGCGTTCTTCTTTGGGATAGTTCTAATTATTGGGAAGTTTTGTTTCTTGTTTCTTTCATTGATCAGAAATCTTCATCTCCTTAGCTTCCACATGTCAGACCCATGGTCAAAAGCAGACAAAATCAACTCCCTCTTGAAAGCCCTTCAGATCCTTCAAACCAGCCCCTGTGAGTCTTCTTTTTATCCAGGCTAAATATCCTCAGTTGTTGCAACTCATCTTTGTTCTCTATGATTCCAGGTCCATTCACTGTGGTGTTCACCCTTCTCTGGATATTCTACATGGTACCCACACCTAAACCAGACACTCCAACTCTGATTTGACCAAGATGGAGTAGAGATAGATGATTGACTTCATACTTGCTACATTTGGGGAGCCCTTCTATTCTTCCAGTATTTTATTACTCAGACAGTTTTAGCTTTCTGCCACTCACCAGCCTATGCTTCAGACAAATGTTTTGGTAGAAGGAACGATTTTCCATTTTTTTCTTTTCAATCATTTCCTCTTACAACCCTTTAACTCACCCTTACTTGACATATAGAAGAGCTTTGTTATTGTTCAAAGCACCATTATATAATATTGCTAGAGGCTGTGTAGGCAGACTGATTCTGCTTGAGCTTTACATTTCCTAACTCCTAGTTTAAATACCCCAATGGTGTTATTTTCTAATTGAGATTTTCTTTATACACCTTAACTTGATTGGCACAGCAACCACCTGGAGCAACTCACGATCAGGAATAAAAGATTGAACTTTCAATTCAAGACTTAAATATATTTGGCCTATCATTTCCTTAGCATTTGTTCTCAAGTAAATATGTGCAAATAAGCTCTTTACACATGCTTTTAATGTGATGATTGCTATCCTGGTGATTGAGTCCACTATAACGTCAAGTTTATTCAAATAACTTAAAATATTTTTCATTAAGGAGGAGCATGGTAGAATGTAAGAAACTTTGGATTTTGATAAAATCTGATTTTGAGTCCTGTTGCTGATACTTATTCCTTGCACAAAGGTCACAAGCCACTTCTCCTGTTGGAACCCTAGTGTCCTATCAAACAAGATGATTTTGTAGAAATTATTTTGTAAATAGACAGCACTATGCAAACATTATTGTTATCTTTGGCATGTATAGTAGAGAGACTGCTGGATTTGCAGTTCCAATTTTGCCACCTACTTCTTGTGTGACCTCAGGCAAGTCACTGAATGTCTCTGGGCCTCAGTTTCCCGATTCTGATTAAGGAGGGATTTGGACGAGATGGTTTGTTGAGGCCCTTCTGATTCTAAATTCATGACCTAATAACTGTCCCACATTTCAAATTTCCTGTTTTCTTTTATGGCATCATCATTCTTTCAGGCAACTGGATTGGAAAACTCCCAATTTGTCATCATCTTTCACTTTTCCTTTCATCTCGCCTGCCACATCTATTCCAAGGCAAGTCCTGCTGATTCTAACCCCACAGCATCATTTGTATGCTCTCCTCTTCATCCCTACCACCATAACTCAAGTCCAGGACTCATCACCACCCCTCCCTACACCAGCATTTAGAATAACTTCTTACCTGGTCCCTATTTTTTAAAATATATTCATTCATGTTTGCCTGAATGATCTTGTTAACACTGTTGTTCAGTTGTTCCCATTCATGTCTGACTCTTTGGGACCCCATTTGGGGTTTTCTTGCCAAAGATACTGGAATGGTTTGCCATTTCCTTCTCCAGTTAATTTTATAGGTGAGGAAACTTAGGCAAATAGATTAAGTGACTTATCCCAGATTACACAGTTAGTGTCTGAAACCAGATTTGAACTCAGGACATGCTGATTCCAGGCTCTGCACTCTATCCACTGCGCCACCAACCTGCCTAATCTTGTGAAACTATTGGTCTATGTCTCCTCTCCGATTTGGTTCTAATTTGCCTTCCTGGCCTGCTGTCACATCATTCCCCTTGTCCACTCTATTTTCTAGCCAAAATGGACTAATAACTATTTCCTAATTTCATCCTGCCTTTTCTGAGCAATGTATGTTCAATGTAAGTTATCCAGTATGCCTGGAATATATTTCCTCTTTACTTCTACTGGATGAGCACCTTTATGTTACAGTGGATAGAGCTCAGAAGCCAAAGTCAGGAAAAATATTTGAGTTCAAATCTTAGCTCAAATACTTACTAACTTTGTGACCCTGGGCAAGCCACCTTGCTCCCCCTCTACCTCTGTTTACTCATGTGTAAAATGGGCATAATAATAACATGCATCTCATAGGGTTGTTAGGAAGAAAAAAAATGAGATAACATGTAAAATGCTATACAAATGTTCTTTATAATAATAATTAGTAGTAGTAGTAGTATATGTAATAACAATTCTTATTATTACTGAAATTCTTTTTTCTTTGAGATCCAACTCAGGTACCACCTTCTCCTTGAAGAGTTCTTAAATTGTTCCTCACTTATTCCCATTCTATTCTTTCTTGTACTTTACCTGTTTGTATAACAGGTAAATGTTATACAAATATATTCCTTAGATTGGGGCCAGGCCCTGTGTCCTTCATGTTGGTATCACTAGCATGGTGTTTTGCGTGTAGGAAATAGAAACTTAGTAAATGCTGGCTGAATTGAATTAGTCTAGATTAATTAAATATCACATCTCCTGGTAAGCGACCAACTTGCTAGTCTGTGAGAGGTAACAAAATGCCCTTTCCCCCCCAAGTACCCAGCTTGCCAGGTTGGTATATTGTCTGAATTTCACCAAATGATCCATACCTTTAAGCTAACGTATCTTTGAAAGCCTTTTGTGCTATCCCTGGTGTGTTGTCAGGAAGAAGGAGCAATTCAGACTCCATCTGACATGAACACCTCAGTAGAAATTAACTTATCGCAGAAGTACCAAGATAGAAAGACAGGTAAGGAAGATCCAGGATACTATGCACAGAATGCCGGCTTAAGTGGAACACTGTTCCTAAGTGGCTCTGAGAAGCTTAAGGGAGAATAGAGAGGTGGGGAGCAGATAGCTGGGGGGTGTACAGCTAGAAAGATAAATTGAAAGAAGGTCCCAGAGAGTAAACTTTTCTTCTTTCACAGCCTATACATGTCCCAAGATGTTTTAAGGGTACAACCATTGCAATGTTCATATTCATAATATGAATATTATATTATATTATATTATGATATAATATATTATAACCTAATTAATTCATGAGGGACCATAACATAATATATGATATAATAATCTATATATAATTTATCTAGGATATATAAGTGTTTGTTAACAATTAACAAGTGGCTTTTGATGTGGTGTATGATGGTGAGAAACAATGGCTTCTCCTCTGTTCAGCTTTTCTAGGGTTTTCCATCATGTTTGGCAAGAAAAAGAAAAGGCTTGAAATCTCCGGACCGTCTAATTTTGAGCACAGGGTTCATACTGGGTTTGATCCCCAAGAACAGAAGTTCACAGGACTCCCACAGCAGTGGCACAGCTTGCTGGCAGACACAGCCAATCGACCAAAGCCTGTAGTGGACCCTTCATCCATCACACCCATTCAACTTGCTCCCATGAAGGTACTGTGATAATGATGATTTCTGGTTGACTTATGATTTCATTTGTTTGCTTGTATTTCATTTTAGCAACTATATTTAGGGACAATTGGGAGGCAGCTCAGCACAGTGGAACGAGTTCTCAGCTTGGAATTAGAAAGACTGAGGTTGAAATCCTGTCTGATACTTCTTACCTGTGTAACCCTGGCCAAATCACTTTAAACTGTGTACTTCAAGCATCCCCCTTTTACCTAGGCATATATGGTTTACTCCTCGTGTTGGTAGATGACATTTCCATACCAGAAATTCCCTACATTCCTGAAATCAGAGATCCTTGGCACATTTAGGGGCAAAGTATAAACATGGTAAGTGATGCCCTTTTGAATGGCTCCATTATATATGATATTGGGTAACTTCAGTAATTTAATAACAATCTTTCCATAACTCAAAAAGGTGATTCAGTTTATAAAACAAAATACGAATAAATCCTTCCCCTGTAGTTGCAAGCCATTTGATATTCTCTTCAGCAGTATAAGATGTGGTTACAAATAGATGTGACCTTTCTTCAAGTGGTTGTTTTAAAAACTGACTTCATTATGTGTAGCTTCTCAAACTTATGGTGGTTATTAGCTCGTTGTTGAATGAATATTAATGATATATGTGTATATATTTACATATACATGCACAGCTGTGTATGTATGTATATATACATATATGTATACATACATAAGCTATCAAACTTTAAAACTGCATTTTAAGACTTTTGGGACACTATAAAGACACATTTCTGTTCTTCCTAAGTAGCAAGCATGTCTGGGAGACATTTGTTATGCTATAGTTCAGAATTAATTAACAAATGATTATGTTTAGCATTCAAATGGATGTGATCACATTGATACAGATGTTCTCAAGGATGCAGATTGCAAACCATTTAAGACTGACTTTCTCAGGCAATTCTTGTATTTTCTCCCATAGGTTCACCTTGGTGAAGTGAAGGGTCTTCATTTTTTTTTTGACATTTTAAGACCCCCAGTGTGACACCAGGATCGCACAACAGTTTTCCTTTGCTCCCGCCTTATGATCAGCTCTTGTCCTTTTTTAAGTACGATGTCAATTCTTGGATGCCACCTTTTTCCTCCAGTTCTCTTTCATTGTTCTCTAATTGCTGTGTTAGGCAGGCTGCTTCCACCCACTGTGCCCCTTTCTTTTGCCCACTGATTGATCCTCATCTTTATTTGTTTGTGGACTATAGTGTTTCGTGAATCAGAAATATACAACACCACCAAAAGACTATTTGGTATTAAAAAGATATGTTTTTGTTTTGAATTGATATTCAGGGAGAATAAATATTACATATAAAATCCATAAAATGTATGCAAAAATATAGTGTATATATATATATAAAGCTATTGTACATGTGTAGATATTTACATATAATTTTACCTATATAACTATAAGGAATGAAAGCATTAATTAAAATTGATCATTTTTGAAACCTTGAATATTTTTTCCTCTTTTGTTGTGGGCACAGAAATGTGTTTGGGTTTTAGTAAGGCAAATTTGGGCAGGGTTGAACCGCTCCCACAAAGGAGAGGGGATGTATTGTAAAGGTCTTGAGCCAGTAGGAAGAAGATCGAAAGGTAGCAGGTCATTGACACTTCTGTTTGTAACTTGGAAAAAAAATTAAAAAGAAAAAAAGTGTAAGTGATCCAGGAGACCCTCAAGTCCAATGGCCTTCTGTAGTAGTGGTCTGCCCCTGATTTTAAAGTTCATCATTATGTGGTCCAGTAAGACACTGCTAACTTGTATAAATCAGAGGTAGCCAAAACATTAGATTCTCACAATGTTTATGACAATAATGGACAGGAAAGAAAAATAAAATTTGCTGTGTCATGTCGTGGAAGACTTATTATGATATTTTTAAATGACCCATAAAACTTGGGAATTACTAACTTGTAGAGAAGATATTCATTGTTCCGGAAAATGTTGACTTCATTAAAAGAGTGTGCTAAAAAGGGTGGCAGCAGATAGATTTATGGAAAAGATTGAAATGCCATTAATAGGACTTGTAGTTTTAGAAGCCCAATGAAATAAGTTTCCATGACTCAAAATCAATGAGTGTGCTAACTCTTGAACCTTTGCAGTAATGCATAACCTTGGCCTTACTTTATGTGACTGAACAAGTGTTTTCTAGTCTGTGCAAAGCCAAGATGAATCTATTCTCACACTTGTACAAAGCGAAGTTGAACCTAGGTTTATCTATGGCTCATCTTCTCTCTTCTCTCTTGTGTATTTCATGCTCCAAAGATAAAGTCTAGTGAGGATGTTTACTGAATTAAATTGAATCTGTTGGGAGTGAGGAGTTAGGATTTGAGAGTCTCTGAAATAATCTGGAATGATTCTGTATCATCTTTTCATTGATCCTATTTATAGTTAATGGATTTTGTCTTGTAATTGCCCATGTCATGGTTCTTTGTTTCTGAACTTAGTTCAGAAATTCAGCTGCCCTGTAATGAGTTAAGTTTAGAAATCCAGCTCTCCTGCTAATCACTGTTTCATTCTTGCATCAAAGAAATCTGTTCTCCTAAGGAGACCAGGAGTCTGGTCTATTATCTTCACACCACCAAGCCCTTCAAGACCAGTTCACTATCCAAAGAAATCTAGTCCACTATCTCTAACCTCATAGGTAGACTCAAACAATGGGTATTTCTTAGTCACAGGAGGGAAGGAGAAGGTTGTTACTAACCTCTCATTCCCACTTTCTAAACAGTCATATTGTCCCCCATGCCTGAACTCTGTAACCAATAATATTGATTTCTCCATTCATGATATTGAACTCTTGTAACCAATCATAACTTGTTCACCACCTACAAAGTCCTGTTTTTTTTGTTCTGTACTTCCCCAAATTATAAAAGAGTGCTGTCCCCCTCGTTTGGGGTCTTAACTTTGCTGAGGAAGCTGAGATTCTCTTTATTGGTAAATTGATGCTTTACTAATAAATTGATTGTACTTGAAACTTTGTGCTTCACTTTATCTTAATTTTAATTGTTATATCCCTGTGAAACTCTTAGTGATTCTTCATAGCAAAAGAAAGACTCACTGAGAGACTAGTTGTTGTTTAGTCATGTCTGACTTTTTGTTACTCTGTGGGCCATTCTGTCCATGAAGTTTTCTTGTCAAAGATACTGGAGTGACCTGCCATTTCCTTCTCCAGTTGATTAAGGCAAAAAGCGCTTAAGTGACTTGCCAAGGGCCATATAGATAGTAAGTGTCTGAGGCCATATTTGAACTCAGGTCTTCCTGACTCCAGGCCCAGTGCTCCATCCACTGAGCCATCTAGCTGTCTCATAAAGACTCCCAAATCCTAACTCCTTGCCCCCAACCAATTCAGTTCAGTTTGGTAAACATTTATCTTATAAATGTCTTTTATGTTCTAGGAACCAAAGATGTAAAGATAGGCAAAAAGGAAAGCATCCTTTCCCTCAAAGAGCTTTCGTTCACTAAAGAGATACAACATGTACATAAGTTCATATAATTTAAGGGGAAGAAAATACTAACACGGCAGAGTTGGCAGGGGAGAGCAGGGGAAAGGACTACAGGGAATTGATCAGAAAGACTTTTTGTAGTAATTGCCACCTAAGCTGTTCCTTGAAGGAGACAAGGGCTTTTAAGAGTTGATGCTAAGAGTGCAAGTCAAACATGCCATCTATGTGGATTCAGGAGGCAGATGACAAAATGTGTTTAGGGAATGGGTTAGCAGGACAATTAGCTTAGGACTGAGAATGTGTGGAATTATATAACATACAAGTGGGAAAGTTCAGTGGGAGCCATATTATAGAGGATTCCATGTTCCAGGTGGAGGATTTTGTATTTTTTCTTAGAAACAATAGAGAACCACTTAATATTTTTAGATAGGGGATTGCCATGATCATATCTGTATTTTAGTAATAACACAGGACCTTGTACTTTAGAAATACTTATTAATTTCCTAAAGTTGGACCATAAAAAAAGAGAACAGAATGGGTAGGTTGCCTGCAGAAATGACCATATTTACAAAGAAATGTTTATGGAGTGTCAAAAAAAGTTGTGGTTTGGGGTTTTTTGTTTTTGTTTTGTTCTTATCACTGAAAAAGAAAAAAAAAAGTCAAAATAGGATTAGGGCGAGTTTGTCTACTATTGGAAACCATGCCACAAAGCTATTTGATACCTAAGAAAGAACCAGAGTTTCAGTTGCATATTCTGTCTAACCCCATTGCCCTTGCTCAATTCTATTACCATCTTTGAGTTTGATATAGGTTGAAAATAGACAACCTCTGGCTCCTAGGGGGACTCCCAATTTTATAATGATATTGAATTATACAAGATAAAAAGGCCTGGCTAGATTGTGATCTGCACCGTTAAAAGGAGTGTCTATATTGATGAGCTCATAGATGATTAAGTTTTAAACTATTGTAGCCCATTATTGGGAAATCCCTGAGAGAAAAACAGAATCATAAGTCAAAATTAAATAATTAGAAATTAAAGGGATAAGGTCATATGGTTCAATTTTTACATTTTTTGTTGAATCTTAACATTGAATGTCAGTACAAACAACTAAACTTACTTAGTAGCTATTTACATTTAAATTAAATTCCACGAATGAAGTACAAAAACACTATTTCATTTACTCACTCTAAGCATTATTTGTTCCTTCATTTTCTTTTACTTTCCTACTATTCAGTACTTTCCCAAGCTTTTACCTTTGCTGTGGCATCACTCTTCCCATTCTCAGCCCCCTTAGTGATCCAATATGATTCTATACAATTGGTTATTCTTAATTTCTTGGACTCTTGTCCTATCACTGATTATAACTTGTTGAATTCAAAGCCCAGATTTCCTACCATCTTCCTCCTTTGCTCCTTCACATATGCTGCTGAATAGATCTAGAGAAAGTCATGAAACTATGCTGACTGGGTCCATTATAAATGTGTGTTGTTGAATATCCACTGGGCTCTCACTGCAGCAAAGCAATCTTTTTACTGTTC